AAAGATAGTTATAATGTTTTCACACCCTCTCTGTGTAGTATTTTAAAGTAAGTGTTGAAAATGTGCGCGTGCATACTTCCAAACCAGTCACGCGGAGAGTATTTTATCTAATTACTTCAACGAGTGGACATGGCCGTGTCGAATCGTTAGCATCGGCCCCATCAATCATAGATAAGTTTCCCCGATATCCGGCTGATTTAGCGTCTAAGACGGGGGACAAACACTCCAGGAAATCGCCCAGTCTCGGAATTAATGTTCAGCGACATCCGCGCCCCCTCCGTGCCGTGGAACTTTGCTCTACGCCAGTTGGGTTATTTGTCATAAAGAAACACTTTCCCGGAACTTAAAAGAGAATTAATTGCGGGAGGGAAACAGGAGGCATTATGTGGTCAAGGTGGTCAAATTTCACGAGACAAACGCAAATTTGTCAGAGGCGGTTGAATGACCACAAAAACACTGGAGTGTGGGATAATTGGAACCCTCAAATTTTGACAACTGGGGGATGCTTTTTCTATTTCAAAACAATGAGACAAATTGCTGTTTTTCACAAATTAAGGGAAGGCTTTAAAGGCATCTATTTCCAGTAACTGAGACTCATTGAAACAGTGTTGTCCCGGCCGTAAAATACGTGAGAGCAAAAGAATTCAATAACATTATCGATAAGAAGGAAAGTGTCCTGGAACATAAGCCTTGTCCCTCAGGCCTTTTACTAATATGTACCGATAGACTGCTGTACTATGACTGAGATATCATACCCACAAAAAGAAGTGCCCGACATTTCTTTTTCTACCTGCATGGCCCAAAATGATTTTTCTTTGAATGAATTCTTAATGTCGGGCTGATAGGTGTATCTTTCTTCCCGCCATATCTACAAAATGAAATGATATGTCTGTTTACAAAGAATGCAGTGTAAAGTGTGAACATCTTTTTCCACTCCGTGCCATGTCTGGGTGTGACCACACTGCACAGGGTGTAAGTTTCAAGGCCTAAACTTGCCGTGAGTACGCATACGAAAAAGATCACCTTGCAACCCTGACAAATAAATCAAACCCCGAAAAAGGCTCGCTTTGTGTATTTTGCGACGTATGACACTAAACGTGTCTACTGGACCACAAAATAGCGCGTAAGGTCGGGAACACTGTAGGCCTACCCGAGCTAGCCACGATCGGGTGTCGCGGACAGCTTCACCAGATAAATGCTGAAACACACACCTAAATGGATGGCTACGGTTGCGGGTGGACTAAACCAAACGCAAGGCACAGCATTGGCACATCCAACCACTTCGACATACTGACATGGACTCTGGCATATTCCAATACATGTAAACTGTAATGATCCGAGCAAATACTCAGACACATCATCGGCAATACATATAAATGTAAAGTACATAGTCGTTTTGTGAGCCAGTAGTTTTTGTAATTTTTTTTCCCACTCTGTGTTGTTGTACAGCCAGTCTGTCATCCAAATTGCGATATTGAAGAGGACGCGTGATGACTGTGTGGCACGATATTTATCTCAACTTTCCTTTTAATAAGTACCTGGGTTCTAATTATCGTTTGAGGGGGACGGGGATTTACTGCTCGTTTCGGAGACACCATAAAGTTTTATTGCCTGGAAGGAGGTCTTTCTATTGTAATAATAGAATATTGTAATAATTGTGTAATAAACTCCTGAGAAATAAAGGAAAGTTAAATGCTATAAAGTTTGACTACTATAACGAAAACGACAACCCTTGGCGCAGTCAAGGCTTTGATGCAGTCAAAGCTTTGGCCTAATCTTCCGTCCGTGCTCCCTTGAAATTTGGAAATCAAGGAAAATAATAGTACTACAGAACTAAAGGCTACTTGGACTTGTGCCCCCTCCCACTGTAACATTAAGCTTCCCTACTTACCCCTTTAGATTGAGAACATTGGATACGCTGCTGACGATGACCTAAGAGACATGTGATTAAACGTCTTTGGTTGTGAATAAACCTAAGTCTCCAAGTCTACAATGAAGTTTGGGAATCCGTCCGAATGTCGCCGCTCAGAGACAATTTCCTTTACTTCTAGGGGGTTTATTGCACATGTGCGAAGCACTGCAAAGCTTCCCCTTCCACGGCAACAAAATGGTGCACCCGACCCGACTACCCACCGCTACTTATAAGTAGGGTTTCTACACCAAATTCGCCATGCTATAACCAGGTTGGCATCGTAGGACTACGTTTACATTTAAGAAATACATGGTCTTAAGTTGAATCCAGATCTTAAAAAAAATAAAAAGGCGCAGACTTGCATTTTCCGCTTGGAAAAAAAATGTTTTAAAAATCCAACTAACCAGGCCTCCAATACGCAACCAAATCGAAATCGAATTAGTTTGTGTAAACGCAGCCAATGTAAACTCACACAACCGGCCATCTGGAGAGAAGCAGCAGCTAGGGAAATACTCAGTGCGCCTGGACGGCAGTGGGTCTTAGGACGCCAATAGATACCCAGACTCATTCCGGTGGGAAAAGAAATGACCCTCCAATCTGCCTGCAAAAATAACTCTCCACCAACCTACAAGAGCGCGGTGTATCTCGATTGCTTCCAACTGTCCCGGTTCCGCTTACCGGCGTACGGTAAGTTGGAAGATCTCGCAAATAAACTGTACTTTGAACATGACTGAACAACGGTTACCCTTTACGAACATTCCCAGAGAAAGTCGCCACAGTTGTGAAAATAAGTTGTCTTCAACTTCTGTCATTTCGCAGTAAGAAATTGTTTTTTTAATTCGCTTATATTCGTCAAATCTGAACCAGCCCAACAGCAAAATTCAAGCAATTTGAATTTTGTCGGTGAAGCTTATTGTTTGTTCTATTCTGATATGAAGACGTTAACACAGGAAAAGAAGCTTGCCTAGCCTTTTTCATATTTCAATGTCTGAGTGGCTGCCGTCAAGTTAGTTTTTAGGCAGACTCAAAGGCAGTGACTCCTTAAGAATATAAGCACTACATTGGTCTTGTCTCATTACATCCTAAAGTATCCGTTTCTGTTTCTTTGCTCTTGTGATAAAGCTGAAAGGTGCATATTTCCTCACAAAATTGGTTCGCACGCCTTTCCCTAGTGTCTCCGTGCACACAACCGGGCAGCTCTGCGCCAGTATCTTTGCATAAATCTAATTTGGCAGGATGCATCGTAATTGATCCGCCCGGCATCATATAACCGTCCCGTGTGATCCCCCGCCCCGAGCCGTCTTTATCCACCTAATGTGTTTTCATCGGAGAACCAAACACCCTGTTGCATTAGCGCAACGCGTCGGAGTTCTCCTCCCGTATCCCGCTGAAATGTCTTCGATTTGGTTCTCTCCCTTTCCCGTTCCTTTACAATCAATATGATGATGATTTCTGGATTTGGGAATCGGGTGATTCTATCTGATTGTTTTTACCCACGGATTTATAGTGTGTGTTTGTCGGACGGACGCCGAAGTGGAGTCATGTGATTCGTTTATGTCTCTGTCTCAAAAAGGGCAGTTTAAAGACCAACTTCAATGTGTCAGCCAAATTACTGATTCGTTTTTTGATTCTGTTATCTGTGTGTAGGTATGTTTGAAGTGAATCCGATGTTAAGAATGAGCTTTTTTACACTGTGGATATTTAAATTGAATTATGGATGAACAAAAGCAAAGGAAAATTATACAGATTTCAGATATTTCAGACTCAATTTCTGGAATAAAATTCAAGCAAGCATTGGCAAAATAATTTCCATCTGCGTAAAAGAAAGACAACGTAGCGTGTACGCGGATAGCACTGGGCTACTTTAATTTAATCAACAACGAAATACCCACATCTTTAACTGGGCCCATGTCACTACCGACGCACAGAATAGCCTTCGCGTTCCACGTGTGGCGTTTACCACGGTCCAGCTCCTCCAGTAAGCCCCGGCGGCCCCACGGGAGAATCGGGTGCACTCTGCCTCTCTGAACTCCCGATCGTTGACAATATCACAGCCATTAATGTTCTTTTCCGGCCAAACGTGTGTGTTGGGTCACTGCTTCTTATTAAGGTGGTTGAGTTCAGGTACGAAGTCCGCAGGGAACGGGAGTGCCGATTCTAAGATTGAGTCCACGATTTTGTTTTCTGTCTCCTGTTTTCTTCTGTATCTACAAGCAGTCGTTTGCCGCTTGGTGTTTGAAGTAGAATTGTTAACCTGGATTTGTATATTTATGTTGGCGATTCCATGTTGGAGACATTCAAGAAGTCCCCAATGGATTGCCCACTTTTAGCTGTCATGTATTTTAACCTTTGGTGAAGTACAAACTCTAGAGTACGCATGAAGAACACACAATTGGCACCGCAGAAAGCTGCAGTGAACTCGTCCCAGAAAAGAAAATCTGACGAAAATAGTGAAATTAGGGTCAATGACTCTCAAGAAGTCTGGGGCGTACTTTGGTGACAGGTTGGCGAAAGAGCAATCATCTCTCCTGGCTTCAATTACAAGATACATGAAGGGAAAAAATTCAACAAAACAACTGAAATCTCGCATAATCCGGAATTAATATCCAAAGGTAGGATTGGGCTTGAGAAGTCTTGTCGGTGTAGTAATAAAAAAAGTTCTCGTTTGGGCAGAACTTATCTGACAGATCGGTCATTAACTCCCAGAGGCTTAGACGAGAAGATGGTGTATGAGCAGCGTTAGGTCGGTGCGGGGGGGGGGAGTTATCTCACCTAGCGATGACTCCCTTAGCCAATGCGGATGTGTGCTCAAAAGTGGCCGGCTAGGATTGCAGCTCCTGGGACCAATGGAGAACATTGACGGTCGCGGCATAATACGGCCGACTTTGTCCGGCAAATAAAAAAGCCCCGGGTGTGACATGAACAATAGGACCAGACGCTGGTTGGTTCAATGTGTTTCGTCCCTTGGGGAGACAGCCCTGACGCGGAAATACGCTCTACCTCGGCGAAATAGGGTTGATGAATAGTACACTTCTCGACACTTCCGAAGAGGAAAAATGAAATCGAACGCTGTGCGACCCAAACTTACCTTTGGGATCCACAGCCGGGCGACTTTCTGGATCTTTCCCCGTGAGAGGCAATATTGTTCTGCAGGAAATGAGAGAATAAGTCTCGATCTCAATTGGTTTCCTAGGATAAACATCTTGAACGGGAAAATAGTTCTTGGCCAAAATGTTTTAGTGAAAAAATAATATACCAAGGTCCGGCTTGACTGATATACACCACAGGAGAAAAGTCCGGTTTCTGGTCCAATGGTGCAAAATTGTTAATGTGACAGTTTTTTTTTTCCTTTCAATTATTTTACTTTTCTGCTTTTCTCCCAGCTATGCATGTTGGACATCAGAAAAGGAGCAGATTTGTCCCACAGAAATAGATTTAACACGTACGTGGACAAACTCCCGTGCAATAAATGAAAAGGTCGTTAAACACTCGGGGTGTTAAGATTCAAATTTGCCTGCCACTGTTGACTTCCTATTTTTTCTTTTTATTTCTCTGAACGAAATTCACTCTTTCCTCTCAGGCTGACATCATGATATATCTTTGAAATTGAGAACCACAAATATGCGAAAAATATTTAAACACTCGGTAGCAAAAGCGTTTGAAGTGAGTTTAGCAATAAGACCAGCAATTGAGACTTTTCAGGGTTGAAATGATTCCTTTGCACAATATACTGTGGCACAGTGTATCAACTACACTGCATTGCTCTCGTCGAGTATTTTTGAGTCGGGCCATTTCTTTCTTTCTGGTTTTTTTTTTTGTTGTTGTTGAAAAATGACCACACGAATCGTAGCGGCTCTCAACACCTGACCAAGGGCAGGAAGTGAATCTTTAAGCTCCGCTTTGAAAACAAGTTGGAATACGTCGAGATGCATTTATGGTAACTCATCGAATCTGTTGGTGCGGTACTATTTTTTCAGGTGAAGCGAACTCATATGTGATTGGCCCTAACCCAGTTTACCAAGTATAATTTGAGTTGCACATTGGCAAGCATAAACAGGTTCATCGCAATGTTAACCAGGGGTACACTGGAACTTTATTCCATACGGACATACTGAATGAGAATGAACAGCAGATTTACACCAGAACACATCGTACAAATAGTACATCACTTATTATAAATCAATTCTTTTTTTCCCTAGTTGACAGTGACCAAGTCTGAACATTGACAGATTAGAGTCAGCTTTAATCGAACCTCTGAGGAGGCCATGTGGTTTTCGTTGGGTATCCTATACTAACTCCGAAGTGATACAATACAGTAACCGTCACAGGAATACCATATTCAACTTAAGGTTTTCGTTGCTCAAGCTTCCTTTTCACGCGACCCAGGATTTGTTCCAGTTTCGACTATGACACTGACGACTGGTTCACGTGGCCCTTTGGGAACAGTAAGGCTAGAGGCTATGGAGGAGAACCCCCCCCCGTCCCATGTCATTTACGTGGTTGCATTTTAAGTTGCTGAGCCATTGGACTGTGCGACAAGCTAAGTGTGAGTTCGGTACGTCTTCCACAATTGCCCTATAGGCTCTCCGTTGTGACCATCCATATTAATCCGGAAATCAAACTGAATTTCACCTTCTGTTTTATTGTTCCCATCTTAAAGTAATGCTAAATACCTTCCAGTAAAAATGTCAAAATAACTTTTTCCTGCTGCTTTCAATACCTTACGCTGATATCGTCCAGCTTAGGGGGCTTCAAGATTTTTGTGTTATAGTTCATTAATATTCAAAACACGGCAGACGCTCTTCTATCTAGATCGCATATTTTGCACAAGCTCGGAGGCTTCGTTCGCTTGTAGTCAGGTTCTCGCGTCAGAATACTCAGGCATGCTTAAAAGTGCGAGGAAAATTGTGCAGTGAAAGTCCTTCGATAATAGTCACCGAACTTAGAACGGGAACACAGCTGCTGCTTTATCAAAGACTAAATGTTACCAGTGTCAACAGCTTGCAAAACATATTATTACGAAAAATTGGACATTTCAACTTGATTACACCTTAAAACATAATACTTCTAATTTAACCACAGCTGCAAACGTAACAATTAACCAAGGCAATAAACCGAGGTCATCAACGCTGTTAACATTATTAGAATTTGCAATGAGACGCAAAGGGGAATATTTACCCCTTGAATTTTGTCGTGGAGCGAAAGGCACTTTTTCACGTTGCCATGGTGACTGATTCTACACCTGGCAAGCATTGTTGTTCACTGCCATCCAATTTCACCGCTCACCGATCACTTTGTTGTGGATGCGGTCAGCGAAAATGCGTGCAGAAAGTCAGCAAAATTGCGGGACAGAAAGTCCTATTGCGTCCAAAGATTTCTACTTGGTTATGCATAAGCTGACTACCTATAACCAAGCCGATGCTGATAACTTAGCACAGGAAATCGTTCCGCTATAATATCTCTCCCTGAAGACCAGTTTCCTTCAACACCTGTTCTGCTCAACAACTGGACGATTAACAGCCAGGCGAAACAAAACAGATACCCACTTTGACCGACTTCGGTGTTTTTCCCCGCCTGATGATGATGGTCAGTGTCAGCTAACTTTTGTCTTTCGGGAGATAACATTCAGCTATTTGATCACATGAATACCTGCAGCCCTGGATGCGCCGGACAACAATGAAATCATATCATACACTTCACTTAAAGAAGAAAACGGCGACAGGTTTTCAGCTTCTTATATTCATATTGAAAGGAGGTACCAAGGAGCGCCGTGGTATCAGCTTAAAGAAACACAATAAAAACGTGGAGTAATACCAGCGAATTAGCGGAGGCTGTCATCCTGCTGATTCGGAACAGCGCTTGTTCCCACGTGCTTGTAAGATATTGTTTCTCACTAAAGCCAAACCATTATGGGCAAAAACAATTATCCGGCGGAAGCGCCGAAAGGGCTCGTTAAGGCGTTAAAGACTGCATTCCTGTGAAGTCAGACGAGTACAGCAATTGCTCGACAACAATCCAATGCCGATCCTTTACACACCTGACTCAAAGACGCCATTAATTATGTCACACTGACACAATGCACAATCATCTTGTTCAAGATGTGTGATTATGCATGATTCACTGAAACATTCTTTGCCATTTTGAGGTATTGTTGGTGTCATTTATTATATTTTTGAAATCTTATTTTGTTCCAATCATGCAGTTGTGGTTCGTCCGTCGGTGGAATTGGTTAATAAACAAATATTAAACACTTGTACCTGGATAGTCTGTGAATCTTTTATTTCTGAGAAATAACTATAAGAATTACAAAAAAATATTTCGAAAAATACTTTTTGTTTCTTTTAAACCAAATAAGAAAAACACAATAATTTAAGAAGATAGTACTCAATACTTTGAATCGAGAGGAATGTGCCTGCTTGGAAGCTGTCACTCGTTCTCAGTGTTAACAATCTCATTAACAACTTCATTTAATGTGTCGCAAGCAGCTATCTATCAATCACTACAGACAATTACTTAACCACGGTGCAAGGGACCCCTCCAAGGAGCGGCAATACCTCTCTTGATCAAAATGAACAATTTGGTTAAGTGGTAGCGGCAACCCAAATGGTTAAGATAATGAAAATCATGACCCGGTGAGAGTGTTGGAGATTACGCCTACCAAGATGGTGGGTTTAGTGGATTCCATTGGCACGTACGAAAGGAGACGACAGCTCCTTCATTTTACGGAACATGATTGGTTAGCTAATGGACTTGGCGGGAAGATAATGAACGTTGCATGGGTATGGTACAAGCGACAGGAAGTGTCTTTACTGGCGTGCGCCGCAGCGTGGCTCATCATGCCGTCAGAATAATTTTCTGATTCTGTTGTCAAGCTCTTTATTGGAAGGGGTCTCAGAAGGTTGTTGAATGATTCATGAATTCCCCTGTAGAATTAGGATCAAGGATAGGAAACGTCGCAGAGGAAGTATTTCAAACCCCAGCCACGCAGGAAAATTACCAAGGAGCTTCCTACCAGTGAAGGGCGTACAACCCCCTGAAGTTTCTAAAGTAATGGGGTTAAAGCAACGTATACATATAGGTTTCCAAGCGCTCTATGAATTGAACCGTTTATTACGTCATAAGATAAATTAATAAGATAATTAAGATAATTCTGTGGAGCAATTTGAGATCAGTGAAATCTTTTCTCAACACTCACGGTAGAGGCAATTGTAATAAACTGTCCTGCGCAAGAACACAAGCACTATAGTGCTGAAGGGAATGCGAGCATCATCGCATGAGGGTCGAAAACCTGAGCCAATGTATCACGACGCCCTCCATCAAAGTCAACATTAAACCTAAAGCCACCGACCAATTTTAATGTAAACTTCTGATTCCACCACAAAGATGTCTCAATTTCCCCCTTTCACCCACAGATATTGAACAGATTAGAACAGAGACTCTTTGGCAGTGACCTTTCAGAAGCCGAATCGTGGGGAGACAACCAGGGACAGCAATTAGAACTGGAACGGTACAGGCCTGCAGGTTAGTCTTTCATTCAGTCCTGCTGATCGTACAAACTCCCGTATCATTATGCACCCTTCAAAAACAAGCACTGTTTCCTTGAGTGAACAATGGAAGTTCATTAACGTTTGGAGTTTTCTGTAAGGTTAGCAATTTGAGACCTGTTCATTTTCAAGGTTTTCTGCCCTCCTTTCCACAAAATGATTTTCCATACATCTCTCCATGCATTTTGTTTATTATTTGTCGTACCTAAACTTATTCGAATAAAAGAGAGCACAACTTCAAACCGGGGATCATTTCAGCTTTAATCTAACCACATTTCAAAATCTTGTTTCCACTTTGTCCATCAATCGGTTTTGCCCTCATCCACGAAGACGAGGAAGATGGGTTTATTGATGCCAAGGAAGTGCCTGATGACACTCCCCTGACCAAGAGGAAATGCCTCGGCCGATTTCAGCCCTACGCATTAAACTGCTAAGAATGAGCTTCGGAGGACCGGTTTTTCAAAATTTTGGTGACGGCAATATCATCATCATAGCTGATTTCTACTCGCTTTAAATTATACGAAAATGAGTTTTCGTTCGATTTTCACATCCTATCAAAACAGCAACGCTGGAAAATTTATATTTAAATCTGGTTGGCTGGGAAACCAATACTTTAAAATACTAAATATTTTAAATGTAAGTCAAAGTTGAACTATCCTCAGCTGAAGCGAGGTACGCCAAAAGGAAACATTTTCCATATCCAAGTTAAGTTCAGCCGGTGTGCTGGCCAAATAACAAAATGAAGTGTTCTGATTAACAAGGGAAAATGTCTGGCCAAATTATTCGTTGATTGGTATGTGGTTAATCCCTTGGTCGGTGTACATAACTGGCGTTGCCTCGGTGCGCTGAATGGCGACAAGGGATACATGTATTTATGCATTTATGCGCCAACTGTACTGTCCAGATTTAGTTTTATAAAAAAGATATAAAGTTTTATTGCCAAAGTTAGTAAAAGTCATATGTATGATCCTCAACTGCATTATCATACGTTAGTTTGTATTTATTAGGCTGCCAATAAATCAAAAGAAATGCACGACACATCGAGACTCTGCTGTTGAAATTAACACAAAAACGCAGATAATGGATTTTTTGTTTCCAAATACACCAAAGACTTTGTTGTGGTAACTAAATGACTTTGCACCTGACGGGCCTAGTGTAACCTGTGATGCAATGAATTAGTTGGACCTATTGTTACAACGTACCTGTCGATTTATGACAACTGATAGACGAAGTATGAGGCATGTCTTTCACAACCCACAGAACAAACAATTGATGTAAAAGTAACTATTATTGCGGTACAACCTAAACCATTACGTCTACTTAAGGAGATTCGCAACCTATCTGACCGACCGACAGATCGTGCGTAGTTTACTAGCTTATAGACTGCTTTAAACAGTTGTAACCAAATACTGACGATAGGATTATCACTTGTGTTAGCTCCAATGTTCAACGCTTAGTTTCACTTTAGCTGGCTAGCAAACACGGTAAACTAGAATCGCAATGTGTATGGATCCAGATAATGAAAGAGTTGCTATACTAATTCAAACAATTCAAACAAAGATGACGGCATAGTTTATACCCACTTGAAATAATGAAATCCATTGTCAAACCGTTCTTGATCTTAAAGGAGCAAATTTCAATGTATGAATTTCACAAGGCCCCTTTAATTTTCCATTTCAGAGTTTCAATGAAGATCACTGTATAGGTCTAGTGTATTGTCAATTTTTGGGAAAAGCACATATATGTAGCTTAACCGGGTAGCAGAGTGATTTTCGACCTCTCAAGGGCACCTCATTGACCCAAGTGACTCGACGTTCATCCATCTTTTTTGTAGGCAAAGGCCGCTGCGCCAAGCGCAGTATTTACCTAGTACACGTAGGCCGACCTTCACAGTGCAGAATAAATGTTTAAAAGTGTAGGAAACGGGATGTCAGAACCTAACGCTGTACTGACACAAGTGGTAACCATCATGCTACTTTTATGTAGAATTCACGGTTATTTCACGCGAAACTTAGCCCCACTGTCAAGTATACAACATACATTGTACGATTGCTAACTAAATGCTTACCTACAGTAATGGTGGCTAATATCGGGAAACTGGGTGGTCATGTGGTACTTTGATATCTGTTGTTTGGCCCTATATGTTAGTAAGAACCTTCTTGAAAATGATTTGAAGATTTAATACTTAGTAGTAAGGTAAGAAATATCCTTCTGTTATCATTATAGCCTATACAAGGGGAAATTTAAGAGATAAGCCCACGCCCATTCTATAATTTAACTTTACCACTTATAGTCTTAAAAGTAATGGTTTTTAATTTGAATTGTAGTTAAAAATTGACAGCAATCTGCCTTGAGCTAGGCTGAAAAGAGCCATTTTTGTGGGAAGTGTTCATTTTGTTGGTACTCTTCCGCCCGTAACTCGTGCATTCAATAGTAGGTTGTGAACCAGCGACGTGCAGTTCCCACCCCATTTATAGTCTTTAAATGGAGGTCGATTTTCAACCAAAGGAGTTTCCGTTGCTAGGAAAAGTGCATCCTGTCTTGGTCCCACTCAGGGCAGATTATTTCACTTTAAGCACCACGCAAGCAGGCTTGCTTGAGCCCGAAAGTAGTCACTCGAGTTTGTTACAACCCGCACCATAAGTTAAGAATGCTGTTCGAGTTGTAAAATAGTGTACTCAGAGTGAAATCTTGTCCATATATTCAGTACACAAAATAAAAAGATGTAAGTTTTCGTTTGTACGTTGTGACGTGCAAAGTTTCATGAACTGGTTCTGCATAATACAATTATACATATTTCTTGTAATAAATTTTTGGATGAACAAATGATAAAGAACGAAAGTAGAGCTTTCTCCTATTAGATGGAATACGTGGTAACTCCAGAAGTCTATTTCAATACGGGCAATTTACAACAGTAAGCCACCAAGAGTTTGCAACGCGCTGATCAATCACAATGCCCGTTTGGAAAGGCTCGGCTCGGATTTCGCACACTGTGATTGGTCAACGCGTTGCAACTCTTGGTGAAAGAAAGAAACTCTAAAAATGCAATATCTGCTACACACGAGGCGAAAACTATTCTTGGCATTGATGGACATATATACTTACCTTCATCTTGGTTCAGATGACGTTTGGCTCGAATATTTGAATCAACAGATTTGAATAAACCTGAATAGAAAGGTTTTAATAAGTTCAATGAAATGTTCACACGACCCACTGATACATTCTTTAAAATTTAAAAGGATAAACTGAAGATCATCCAAGAACTGGAACAGAAAATATCTTCGCGCCTGAAACTTTGCACATCTCAGACGACGCTTTGAGTCAACTAACAGTGGACGATAAATATGCAGTAGGGTAATAGAGAAAGATTTCAGTGAAATGCTTTGCAGTGATGCTCTAGAGAAATTGTCTAGCTTTGACTGTTGGACAGAATCACTAATTTCTTGTTTTGAAAACAAGACTTATCTGCTCCTGTTTTTTTAGTTTATTCTCAACTTCGTGTTACTGTTAGACCTGATTGCAAATTGTTGATTTGTTTGCTAGTGACAGGTTATTGAATTCATTTTTAGATTCTTTCATGAAGTAAAACATTGATCTCTGTGCATTCTGAATTCATGTTGCGCATGTAGAGAGCAGTGGACACATTCCTAACATGTTCGCCATGGTAGTTTTGAGTTATCCAAAATGATTTGGCTTCAAATGTATTTGAACTAATATCTAAATAAAATGCTGATTTAAATTTCTTGGGAAATTTTGCGTAGTTTGTGCCATTATTTTGTTTTGCGATCAAGGTATTTGATTTTCTCATGGAAGCTCGCTATGATGTTTCACTTGACAGATGGTTTAGGATATCGGGCAATTTATTCCATTTCGGTATCTGTTGCTTTAATACGGGGAAGAATTCTGCCAAGCCTGGGGAAGAAATTTTAAAGGGACAGTCGATATTCTGACCAACAATTGGGCAAAGCTGCATTTCTACTCAACACCAACAGCCCTGTCACAGACTTTACTACGGTGCTCTTATCAGACTAAGTAAGGTTACGTGATAGTTCTGTCGTGTAGAGATATTCCACTTGTCAGGCCGCTTCATAATACTCTCAGCGTCATATCACGTGATGTTTGTGACATCATGTCACTTCATGATACGCTGTCACAAGATTCCACATCGTCATAAAAACAGGGCTCCCTACAACAGAAGCGCCGACCAAAGACTTTCGTCTAAATAATACCGTTAGAAATAATTTGGCAAGACCAGAAAAGAAAGTCAATTCGAGCCACATTGAAATTCAGATCTACATCAACAATGCTGAATAAGTTTGGTTTGTTTTACACAACCTCTGAAGAACGAGGAAAACATCACATAACACAAGACGGGCATCTTTTCCTCCACTCTGTGGCACTTATGTCAGTCACAGAAAAAAAAAACCTAGATCGGTTCCTCAGCTCCACGGGTAAATGTTGATCAAATTAAGGACCCGGGTCCAAGCTGGGATTTGATCGCTGCGAGCAAAACCCACACAGTCGGGATCGATTTGGCGGTCGGCAGAGGTACTACAACTCCTGTCTCTTCCTGAGAAAAGACAGTGTTGAATGAGCCAAGAAAAGGTGTGGGTTATGCTTTCGTTTGAGAAATATATTTCAGGCATGAATCCAGAGGGGTGGGAGTCACCCCCCACACACCAAAAAAGAAACAACTAAAAACAAGCAATCAAATAAATAATAAATACACAGTTAAATAATCATAAATGAACAATAAATCAATAAGCCAATAACATACATGAAATGAGAATTATTATCATTATGACATCATATGTTATTATGTGTGCATCAGTATTAATGGGTTGCATAACCAATGTATTCACCTGTCCTCTACAATCAACATAGAAAACAATCTGACGGGCCTGACCCCCACCAAACAATTCCTGGATTCGCCTCTGAATTCTATTGTAGTAAGAAGGTGGCCGATAACGCCACATTAAGCAAAGACCCAATCGCTAAAAAAGGAAAGAAATAGTAGTCCCTATAAAATGCTCCTACCGTGAGTATGGGAAGAAAGCCTATATGCACGCATCACTTGAAGGCAAAACCAGGCGGCGTGTGCCACGGGACTCGCAGTATCCCACGGAAGAAAAACACGACTGATTGCATATCGCGTCGCTGTCTCAACAGGCCGGGTTCCACAACTGTGATTTTTACCCGGGGTTACAAAAACCTGTGCTTTTGCCCTTTACATCAAATTTTCTTTCGAGAAAAAGAACACAGGAATAGTTTTTTTCTACAGTGTAAAAAACATAAGAGGAACAAAGATTGCCATAGGGTTGAGAAATACATGTACTTTAAAGGTAAAGCAAAGCAATACTGCATTTTAGAAATTACTACGCTTTTCTTTCCAGAAGCGTCAATAGTTTTGATTATTCATATAATCCTTCCGCCGCGATGACAAAATGTAGTTCAACACTACGGGCACATCTTGGAAAGCTGGCTTTTTTCAAGATGAATTTTTGCGTTGGGGAGATGTTAATTTTCAAGATGTCTGCACTAGTAAGCAGGAGGTCGTTGGTTCGAGTCCCACCCGAGTAAGCTTGTGACTTTTTTCGCAAGCTCTTGAACAAGCGCTGAGCATACAGTGTTTATTAATATATACGTTGGGTAAGGGCAAAACCCGTTATATAAAGCTGGCTTTGTTGCTGGCCTAAAACCTATGATCAGATATATACTTAAATAAAAATGACTGTTTTGTTTGTATGTTTTGGTTCGTTTTCCAAATACACACTTGTAGAATTCCATTCGCTAAATTTTCATTAACTTTGGTCTCCCGCTCAAGTATTTTATGTCAATTTTCTAAATATTACCTGACACATCAAGGTGGCAAATAACAATGCATGTATTCTGTGTACTTGTTACAGGATGGCAGCCAGTTCTTGATGTAATTATACACGGTCTTGATTGCGAAGGAAAAAAAGTACATTTGTTTCATTTGACACTTTTATAATTTTGAGGTCTGACGCTATAGTTGCCCAGAGTCCAGAGTGAACATGAGCAAGACCGCTCCTCCGTCATTTAATACGACGAGATTTTGTTGGAACACATCCTAGTCCGTAGCTTGCCATTACTTGCAATCTGCGTTTTGGTAAGTACCATTTCCATGCTTGGTAGAATTGCGCGCACAGAAGTGTATCGAAACTGGTCACCAGTTAAAACTTTTCAGATACCATTATCATGTGACCATTGACATTTGGGATGTTAAATACTCCGAGGCAAATAACTCTTAGTCACAAAGCACATAAAGTCGACCCAGAAAATTGTCAACACAGCATCTTGCTTATAGCAAGGGAAATGTTAAATCCTTTTAAGTCTGCATTCCTAGTGACACAAAGTTCCTTTGATGAAGACATATATATTAAGTCCCAGGGACTTTGTTATAAAGGGATTTGTGAGATAAAAAGAAATTTCTATTTACGGAGAAAAACTTCACTATAGACTGACTTGTCTGTGCATAGACTGTTCAGTCCAGGTCTTGTGCTAAATTGAGAACAAACGAAAGTTCAACACAAGATTTTGATTTCGCCGCTGTGTCTTTCAACACTTTCTCTTTTTTCTGGCGACTCATCCGTTGCAACAAAGCCATAGGAGAGAAAAAAGAGAAATATATTCGGACATTCCTGAGCAACGAATAATTTTCAATTTAGGTGACTGCGAGCCGCCAACATCGTGCACCGCAATTTTACAAGCTTGCTTACGCGGCAACCGCGGATGGGTTTATTACCGGATTCCTGTCAGACTGAAGCGGGCAAATTAACAGTCTGTCATTTTGGCGCGCGAGAAATTACCCTGGTGACAATGATTGGCTGTCGCAGAATCAACATGAAAACCGCCACTGACACCTTTCCTCCGATTTCCTGTTGTGCCTGACGACAGTGCCTCTGTGTTTCGGGATCTAACCGGAACAGACTACGATGTATCTGGAAAGTGCTGCTGCCGCGCACGCCCATGTCAAATAAAAAAAAATTGCTGGGCAATTGGCAGCAATTATCGATAACCATGCCACCACCGATCGCCATTATCTCGGTATGAACTCATATGGCATCGCAGGTTTAAAAATACATCCGTCTATACGCTGCTTGTTGTTCCTACTGAGTTTCACAAAGACACGGCACGACGATGTCATTTCGAACACGCTGTCATGTAAATGTACAGCACTGAAGTGAAGACAACTTATGTACCTCTCTTAAAGCCATATCACCCTGTGGCTTTAAGAGAGATAAATAAGTTGTCAGGAGATTCGCTGCACAAGGTCAGGAACATCGTAAAGTGTATTGAAGTGAAAACGTTTCGTGCACTAATATGTGTATCCGGTTCGCAGACGCGCCACGATTTGCAGGCTCCCGTTGGACGATCGCAGAAGTTGCGTGTTATTCTTCCGGTTCCATGGTTCCACGTAAACGGCAATCAATGTATGTAACTCTATGTCCAGTGCACGTGCGCAGTGGGCGTGGTACTGAAGTGACGTCACACTTACGAACCGGATAGAAGAGAACCAGCGCGTGAACCAACACGAAAGTTGTACAGAAAGTTGTAAGGGCCAGTGCCTTAGCACTGCCCGCCATTAACATTTCCAAGATTGAAGTAAACATCGTCACCACTCAGCCTGAAATTTAAAACGAAATTTGCCCGTATAGATGTCGGCCGAATTACATTCGCTGATCCCTCAAATGTTCCAATCCCGAGGAACCTTTTCTTTTGGTTTCCAATGCCAACACCAATTCATTCTGTCTTCTATTTTTCCCTCATGCAAATTTGATTCACTTCAAGTAATGAGTAGGGCCCTACATGCAGTATGTCAATGTTACTGTCTTTCAAATATACTATTGTTTTCTTCTGTGATATCGAGTAGCGAGGACAGGTGCCATTTAATATTCGCACAGTTTAGTCACTCCAAAAGCAACAGGATCTGATAGGCCTACACACAAAACAGAAATCAAAGTGATCGCAACGCAATGGTCAACTTCGACGACAGAGGTTATCGCTATCGCAACAGTGCTTTTAGTAAGGAGAATTCAAGTTGTTACGTTCACGTGCATTTAAAGAACTCAGTGTACCAGATTTGGGTCAAAGTTAACTCGCAAAAGGCTTATTCGCCAGTTGTCTTCACTCAAATCGACACGAAGGGTATAGGCATGTGGGATTATTCCATGCTAGCTGACGGACACTGCGATAGAAGAAAGAGATGTACACATACAAGTGGACAATCGATCTGCAACAAAGTAATTCAACGTTATCAATGGTGTTTACTACCTTTCAGCCTCCGACTGCATATCAATTCATGGCATCTTTTTGCTACGTTCATTTTTTAAAACGTCGCAACAAATAATGAGCACAATTTACTTGTTTCATGTAGACATAATTTCCCTTGGTGACATTTGGACATAAACTTATTTTATACATCTCTCTATTCCTCTTAAACACGTGCACTGAAATATTTGAGATTCATTTTCGGTCAATCACACTGAAAAAACAATAAAATGAAAAAGGCAGCACACAAAATATTTTGAAAAAAGGAAACCAAATTTGATAAGAAGTTAAATCAACCCAAAAGGTGTAAAAAAATATCACTGCACGCTCCCTTCGAAACTGTCACGTTTGTTTTTCTTCTGTGATTACATTCCTTCTTATCATTTGTTGATCAACTTAGAGTCGGCACGTTTTCACATGAGCACAGCTCATAAAACAAGCACAGCAACTGGCTGCATC